TTCGCAAGAGAGAGGGAGCACACCGGTAGTCATTGGTGTCAATTGGCAGGTATTATTTCCACTAAGCGGTTATGTTCAGATTGAAATTCATTTTCATGTCGTCATGGAGCTGTGACTGCAAATAGGAACGGAAAGAAAAAGCATGAGCAGGTTTGGAAAAGGAAATTACTACTCTATCCAGTCTGGAGAAGGGAGAAGTCCCTGTTCCTTTGGACCTATTTGAGCTCTATGTACACTTTTGTGCATATATGTAGAGTTAACTATGTAGTTTTTCCATCAGAAGGCTCTTAAAGTTTTCTAAGTTTGGGGTGTACCGTGGTGGCTTTGAGAACGGTATATACTGAATTCATTATACGGAGAGGAACCAGTACTCACACCCTTTTATGCAATCGTAAAGTCATCAGCATTCAAGGAACTCGACGACTTTAATAACTCTGACCCATACATTTAGAGGCCTAAGTACATTCACTGTGGATGCAATGGTTCGACATTGTTACGTGCCGATTGCTCTATTATACTTCGTATTTGTGGATATAGTGTGAACATCAAGAAATTTATGGATATCCGTGAACTGCAGGAACTCACTGAGTAGACGTTGAAACTGAAGTGGGGACATGCAAGTGGGAATACAATTTGGGAGCTTATTCAATAACTTGCTGTGCTGTATCATAAAGGATCGTGACCTAAGTTTGAGGCGGTGTTTTTCGACAGGCACAGTGCATTAACGATTGCGCAGTCTGTATGAAGACTGAGGCCTAAAAGTAGGAGGGCAACAGGCTTAAGTGATGCCACACAAAAGGCGGTAAAATAGGTTAAGGTTGAGCCCGAAACGTCTTAGCCAAAGTGGGTCATTCCTCGTTTTCCTGTGCATTCCTCCATAATTGAGTTCTTCATGACAGCCCGGTACATAGAGGGTAAACTTTCTTTGAATATTCTCAGTGCGTGTCCTATTCGAAGCATACATACTGCTAAAGATGACTGTGTCATGTTAGGGTGCTGGGCGGATCATTACCTTGAATGAAGGCAGTCTAGCCTCAATCGTATATTTGTGTTTAGGCAAAAGGTGGTTGGTCATGTTTCGGGAGTCATAACCCTCTATTACTTGCCATAAACAGCGTAGAGTGGAATTGAGGAGCTGATGCCCTATGGTAGGTGATTCAGTAGGCGAAAGAACAGCGCAGGAGCTAGAATCACTCCTTGGGACACACCAGATCATGATACTCTCCAAGTTGAGCACACCCTGTTGACTTTTCTTCAGATCTCTCCGCCTTATAGATGGTCCTCCAACCACGACGGAACCCGACAGCTAATATCTAACCTTGGTATTCCGCTAGCTAGGACGGCCTACTGGATTGTGCCAAGGCCGTGGGACAATCATCTGGACAGATATTTGGAAGTCCAGCATGCCGTCTAGTTATCGTCGGCTGCCTGAAGGCCGGATTCCCGGGACACACTGTTCCAAGAACTGTGCAGAGCCCCACTTGGTGCTCCCCTTTGGTCTGAGTTGTCTCTGACATGGCTGTCTAAAAGGCCTGCCATAACCTTCGGAATCGCTACCAGGGGTACTACACGTCAATCGCACTTTGGGTTCTGGCTGCCTTCTCCTCGGAATATAGGAGAGAAAATGGCACGTTTCCGCTCTGCTGGGTTCGTGCGCTTATCTGGAGAGGATGACGCTGAGCACTCGTGCTCTGCCTTGACACAGACGACTCAATGTCACAGGGTCCTGGGTATCTTCCCAAACACAGTCCTGACAGTTCTCGAGGACCATAGCAAGGATTACCTGTACTCTGTACATTCCTCCTACTTTGCGTTGTATCGAGATTTGTTAGGGCAGTCAGGATTCTTGTTTAGATGACGGAATGTTTGGTTGTGTGTCGAAAGTAGCGCTAAGTCTCTGAAATCTCCAGTCCAAAGGGGTTCTCTTCGTTCTGACCCAACCTGAGGCAAACTCCTAGGCTAGTGGGTTTTCACGGCGCCATTCTACTCCCTAGCATTGACGTTCCGCCGATTCCTCAGAACCATGTGTGCATTGTGGTTTGGCTTTTTTCTAGGTAACCCCCACTTATGTCATACTCTCCTTTGGGCCTTCAAGTAGTGTTCGGTGCTTCACTGACCTCGCCTTGTTTACCAGTTCACTAGCTTATTAGCCGGTCCTAAGCCCGGGGCAAACGCGGAGGGTTGGGCATAGGACTAGAAACCCTACCCCGTAAAACCAATCCAATCGCTAAAGAAACCTCAAAGCACGGACAAAATATGAAAAATAAAAACAAACTTATTCCTCGCTGGAATCGGAGAGATGAAATGATGCCAGTTGGTGGAAGCCTTCGGAAGCCGATTAGTCGATGTGTTCTCTCTCGATGAAAGCGAAAATGGGGATGGGGACATGGAATGTCCACACCGTGTAGTAACCTGGCAGGGCTGCTCAGACTGCAGAAGAAATGATGTGGCATAGAAGTAGACTCTTCAGACTGTCAGCTGGAGAGTCAATAATCTACTCCGATATTGTAACCCAGACGACTACCACAGGCACATTGAATTTTGGGGTGGCTATCATGATGTCTTCAAGAGCATCAAAGGCTTTCATGAAGTGGGCATCAATCTGCTTCTGCGGGATCGTAACAGCAAGATTCAAATCAAAAGAAAAAAAGTTACAATCATACAACGCTGAGCTGCGCGCCTACAAATAATGCAGATCAAGAGAGGAAGGAAGAATTCTAGTAGTCCTCTGGAAGTCAGTGCTATCACAAACATAAATGATCATCCAAATTATCGAGTCGTCTTTCAGAACACAAACTATCATCCTCTTGGTCGTTGGCTGGATGGCAATTACAAACGGAAGACTTGCACTGCCTAGCAAACTTGATAGTAATTTCTAGCTGTTGCAAATTTTGTATTCACTACTGACTGTTAATTAATGACGAGTGACTTTTAATTTACTTGCTGAATTTCACCCACTTGACCCGCCCACAAGAGTGCCTAGAGTAAAAACACCGTACTTCTGTTGCTGCCTTCTTATCTGCTACACCTTGGTTGTCTGAAACAAACTGTCCCGAGCGTTAGCGTGTAAGATAACACTTAAAAGTGGGAAATGCGTGGACTTAAATATTCACGTAGATTAGATGGTCACGTTAAAACTTGCCGTTATCTAAAATCGATAAAGTGAGTTGTAGTTGGCCACTGATACTAAAAACACGTGAACTGATGATAAAATGGATCTTTGTCTTACGAAACACGAGGCTATACTGAAAAGTTAAGCATCTCGGTGGCATGTAACGTAAACGTCGAATATTGCATGACTGATTTCACTTTGTTGTGAAAAAAGAATCATGAATGGAAACGATCGAAACTCACAAACAACCTGTATGTTCTGTAAAGTGATACTTTCCTGTTCTCTCCATAACCTGCAAACACTTTTCATATTATGATAAACTTTGATGTCCTCCCTTCTGCATCATCCGGAACAGCTCACTTAATAGAGACCTCTCCACCATTATCAATTTGATAATGCATGTAAACTGGTTTCCCCCATGTTAAATTCTTACTTTGAGGATATTTTTTATTTGTTCATTATTATCATATGGATTCGAAGTAATATCCAACTCCGACTTCTTTGAAACTAGTGTCACGTTCGATTAAATGCACTAGTGTCTGACTAGAATTTGTCAATATGAAAATGGACGAAGCTCAGACGTTTACGATCACCAAACATAAAAGGCGTATGAGAAACAGGAACTTGGGAGATAAACAGCGTTTCCTCCAGAGCCTCAGAGTAGTTTTAACTGAGTCATGGGCTGGAGGCAGGTCCTGACAACCCCAATAAAACCTAAAAAACATCATGCTTCAAGTTCCACTGAGTTTGCAAAGGGGGAGAGAGAACTTGTCTGTGAACATCCTAGGCAACACTGGCCTGGCATTACTAGTTCAGATGACCAGGTGTTAAAATTCAATGCTGCAAAGAAACTAGTGGCTAGAGAAGTTTAAGTATTTGCGAGGAGCGCAAACATTCCTACTGATGAGATAAAGGTAAGTTGCTAGCAGTTTAACCGTGTGCTACTTCACTAAGTCAGGAGACTTGGTTTCCATGTGGAAAGACTCCCATAGCACAAATTTGGTATATGCAGTCCCGTAAATGCCTTTCTGAAAATACCTCTGTCGCGAACATGATGAATATGACAATCATAGTTAAAAGTCGTTGGTGATAGCATCTTTCCTAAACTCTCGCCCCCGAAATTTTATTCCGTTCCACAATGCATAGAAATTTAAGACGTATATAGTGATTAGTTTTTATTCGTCGGTGATGCCTGATAACCAAGTAAGCCTAGAATTTAAAATCTTTGGGCGGAGGGGCGACACAGAGAATTTGAAAGTTTGCTTCTCACTAAGAATCGTGAATCAGTGGAACCCCACACAAAGGTCTGCAGCTTGCAAGTATTCTTCAGATAGTTTCACGACGACCTTAGCGTTGTACTCTCCTACAAACTGCAAGGATCCATATAGCACACTAGTCTCTTGTCCCCCTTTCCCAAGGCTAAAGGGACTTATGCGAACTTGAGGTCAGAAACACCATCCACAAGTTGTTCATGCATAATATGTACCAACAAGTTGGAGACGAAGAAAGAACACAGCTGAACAGCCAGATGGAATTATTCATTCGAAAACCGTGTCAAAATGCCGATACCTTCCAAATAACTGGCTAGAGGGTCACTTACGAGCAGCTCGCCATAACACCATATCATGCTAAATGGCTTGGACGCTTGACCATTGGATTTCAGCTAAACAAGTCCGTTGCAACTTTGAAGGCCAGCATCAACGTTGAGTTTCATCGAACCCTAGACTATTGTTTTGTGGAATTATTTACCACTTTGGGGTGTTTCTTCCAGCCTGTGTCAGTCGAAACAGTGAAAAACTGTAATGGTGAGGAAATAAGTTTATGGTAGATGAAATATTTTACATTTATCAGTGTAGGACTACACCAAAATTCTACGTTGTTTGTTTATCTGCACTCAAGTCACCATATTTTTTGATCTGCGTTGTTGCGCTACGCTGCTGCGAAGTTTGAGTCTGGTCAGGCTAGTACTGAAAGCCATTGCATATTTTACACGATATGGAATAATTGTGTGGTGTAAGGTAATTCCCCTGGTATCACCACAGAACTGAAATGCGGCCTAAAAGGAATGACATCAGGTATTTGGTAATTCTTTGCTAATCGTAGTAGAATCTCCCGCAAATTTGTACCTAATCCTGTAGCTTTGAAATCAAGCAAAAAAGATCGGCGTCTTCGATCTACAAGGTATTAAAATTTCAATACTTTTCCATTTTTCAGGAGTTCAAAGTTGATTGAGAAAAATGAAGACACCACTCAAACATCTTCCTTGTAAGATATTATATTAGATGGTTGATCTTTATTTCAGTACTCATAATGACGAAGTTAGCTGTACAAAAGATGGCCGCCTTCTTGAAAGTAGGAGGTCCAGAAATGCTGGTGCTGCTAAACTGAATTCCGTCCGGAAGTTAAAAGTGACTTCTGACTTAAAGCAGAAGCGTAGTGGTTCCAATGATAGCCGTATACTTTTGACTGATGAGAAGCGCAGACGGTCAGGAGCTGAAAACTACATCAATAAACGGTTTTTGTACGATGTTGTGGAACCACCTAAGCGGAACCGCCAGAAAAAGTTCCCGCATTTCACAGACCGATCAACAGCTGCTTTGATGGCTGTTTCATCAGCTAATCTACTGAAAAGACACAAGTCGAAGGTTGGCGTTTCTGTTCATAAAGCAGATGATCAGGATATGTCTGCACATGTAAGAAGCCGGCATGGTAGACGTCTTAAACCGAAGCACGAGTATAGTCCTTCTCGATCGGATGACGAGGATCCTGTCACTGATCACTCTCCAGTTACAGATGCCAGTCGTCGATCTATGAAAAAGAATAGGGTTTTTACACAATCATCGAAGTCGCGGCTTGCTGCACGGTCTGATCAAGCAGTTTGGTCACGGAGTGAAATTTCTAACAAAGGATACTATTCTGATGAGAATCAGGATGGTGAACTGGATAGAATTCTTACTCCTAAAAGTTACGTAAGTACTTGCATTTAACAATGTTTGCAAAGTTTTCGTGATATGTAATTTTGGATAAATTGCTTGTTATGTATGTTGGGTAACATTATTAATTTGAGAAACCAAAAGCTAATGAAAGTTGAATCCTCGTTTCCGTAGATTGCAATTGGTTGCCGCCTACCTAGGATTAACCCTTAATTTACTTTTCGCACCTATAGTATCTGTGGTTTTTACGTGGTCACTTACGAATCATTACATCACTTCCTGTTTTTTTCTGGGATTTGTCTGACTGGATTTTATTTTACAACCGATCTGAGGTCCATCTAGTAAGGTGCTTTTGGTTGTTTTTCATTGTTGACCATCTGAAGAGGTTTAGTGTCCTTACTGTTGATTGGTAGACTGAGCAGTCATCGTACGATCCTTATGCCGTTTGTTATCAGGTCATCCCTAAAACTTGACAATTTACGAGTCAGGTATTCCGCACCTATTCTACTTCAGATTATGGGCTTATCTGTATTCTATGGTGGTAACACTAACATACTAGAGACCAGAGTTTTCGGCTCCTCAATAGAGGGAATTGTTCGTGGTATAAATGTAGGTAAATTCATACCTAACCAGTAATTCAACTTCAGATATCAGGAGTTGCGGAAAAACTAGTATGCAACTTTACAGATATGTCAGACTAACTTGTCTATCATGGTTCGCGAAACCGTGGTTCGTTGGTTTAAGCAGTTAACTTTCAACCAACGAGCGACAGCTTCCAGCACCGCTCCATTACAGAGGTTTGGGCAGCCATGTAGTATCATTGGCCCTCAAACAATATGCGCGGCTCATCACCTAATGTACGAATATGCACAAAACTACTAAGCACATTCCGATTTTCCTGTGCTTCAAACAACTACTTGTATAGTATCCAAATATTTATGTTGTTCATGGTTTATAAACGACCCAATAGACCAATTGAGAACGAAGCGGGCGTTACCCAAATCCTGCTAACATTCAGGCGAACTAGGTAACTATAAATTACTGGCCCTTTTTTGTTACCACTTTTGGTGGGAGTCATGTTAGTTCATATGTATACATACATGCATCTATATTTATATGGGACGGTGGTAGGACGAAAAGTAGTGTATTGTGAATTACTACACTATGATGGGGCTTTGAGAGCGGTCCTACTGCTGTTAACAATGGAGTGCCGTAGCAGTAAGGTGTTTGACTTAGATGATCAACAATGCCAGACTGATACTGCCTCCCCGACGGGAAAAGATTGGTAGAAAGGGTCAGCCCCAAAAATAATATTCCACTTACCCCATGGTCTTTCAGTGCTGGCGGTATGGGTCCTTCTAGCCGCTATTAAAACAACAAACCACAAAACAACTTCCAGTAGAAAGTCGCGTGTGATAGACCTCAAGCAAATGTGCGCTAGGCTCAGTGGTCACACAAATCGTTTTCTCCTTCAGGTACCTTAAGAAATAGGCTTCTATGGTGTGGGAAGCTGAAAAGTGTCAACCACCCGCATACTTCCAGTAGTACACAGGATACATTCAAGCATAATGTATCCTCCTCAAATCTATCTCCTTCGCCTTCACTTCCTAATACTAAGTTCCTTTCATCTTCAATAACCTCTCACTCTGCAACCATTGCGAACGATCAAATCTATCGAAACCTCATTCCCGGTTGCCTAAGACCCTGGCATCGGTTTCATGTAGGAGCTTTCAACGTCTGGACTGTATGCCAAATAGGACAGCAAGGATCACTCTCCAAAACTGGAATCTCTAGCTATGGATGTATGTTGCATCTCTAAGACATTTATACAGGACTCGAGTGTGATCATTAAATTGACCTCACCTGGCTATAGTGGGGGATCTTCACAATTCATCTTGGGAGTATCCGGAGACCCAGTGGCTAGCTCTGGTGGACTTGCTGGTTTGGGGATAGCATTGAGCTGTAGGGCAGAAAGTGGGCTTCTCAACTGGATATCAGTAAACAGCCATCTATTTGCTGTTCGACTGAATTGATCTGTAAGGACTAGGAGGGACTGTGAGACCAACCAATGTCTGTTTGTAATGTTTGCTTACGCAGCCCCACCGACTGCAGTCTGGGTGACACAAAGATGAGTTCTATCATAAACTGTCAATTTCGCTACGGAAAGTAAAGCGTTCAGATGTAGTCATAATGGCAGTTGACTTTAAGGGTAAATTAGGGAAGCTGATCCAGTCAGAAAGGCATCTGGAGGGTATAATATATATATATATATATATATATATATATATATATATATATATATATAGGCTTGGCTATTTCCAGGCCTTTCTAGGTTTGAATGTCCTTTTGGTTTCCATCCATTCAAGCAGTCTGATATCTACACGTTGGTTCACGTGCTTTCTCGAACCTTCGAAGTGGGACTGTTGGTTCAAAAAATCTTTAGGGGTTTACGGGTACTTATGAAGATTTTGGTAATCCTATTCCACACTACTTTCAATCAAATCAACATAGGACCAGGCGTTACTGCCTAACGATCTAAATTGTCACACCTCATCAGCACATCAAGCAGTGCAGCAATCAGAGGAAAAATGTATGAAAATCTATTAACAAGAGTGGAAAGCAACAAAATAGAGGAAATAGAGATTAAAAAGTGCTGGATTCAGTATAGCAGTTAAGATTAGGATAATGTGTGGATACGTCTGCGCCGCGGAGATTTATCCTGGGCTATATCACCTAGACTCTTCAACTGCTGGTTTCTGTTGTCAAGTGAACCCCAACCAGTTAGTCTACGGCTCTCTACATCACTCACCCAGCCTGACCATACTTCGGCCAACATCGCATGACTAGGCATGCATAACACGTATCCCAGCCATCTCAGTCGATGTAGGCTCATGACCTTATCAACTAACTTTCCACTGCCCCCTTAGACCACACCTGATTTCTGCGTTACCGATGTAGTGACACCACAACAGCCTGTGCTATGAAAGCAGCGGTGGTCAAACACCAAAAGCCTTCTCATTTCCTTCATCTTCTGTGACTGGATGGCGTTAGTTAGCAAAGGTCAGTCGAGACTTTTGTATCCGTGCAGAGATTTCTTCGGCTACTGACCCGCCAGGGCTGATTCGACTTCTTAGGTAGGTGAAGTGGTCAACGCACTCAACTACTTAACTCTCTATTGTTAACTGAGGCATCGCAAAAGACAAGTCCGTACAACTTTTATTGTTTCTTGCACCGTTAGCTGAAATAGTCTCCACTGACCCATCTTCACTGATGGGTGCTACACCACCGTTCTACCAACCTAAATTTTCCCCTAGTAATCTCTGCAACTGATAGCACGTCTGGGTAAACTGTCTCAGCTAGCATTCGTATGTATCTGCAATAATAGTACACGTTTGCAACCGTACTATTATAACTGACTGAAATAAATGCAAAGCCACAATACTGCTTGTGAACATTAGTTCGGAATTATGTAATCAAACACTACGTTCAACAGTTACCTCAACTCCTTAAAAAGTTAGAAAAAATGCTATCGTAATCTCTCCCTGGTACCTCTGTTGTTTTACGGAATAAATTATCAAACCTGCTTTATTTTGGGCTTAATATTCTTGTGTTATTCGTTTTCATGGGTAAATAACAATCAAAACAGCTTCCCTTTCTCGATTTAGTGTTCGATTCAGTATTGTGAACTGGTCGTAGATCGGTTGTAAAATGTGTGAATTCATCTAACAATGATTAAAGATAAGTTAACATTTGATCGGCAGTCGGGTCTCGTGACTCGGTTGGTAGGGCATCGGACCGGTATCCTAGAGGTCTCTGTTTCAAATCCTATCGCGACCCAGGTTTTCATTTCACCCCCAATCATCACCCAGCATCAGTTTATAATACGTTCGGCCAGCTAGCATTAATCTTATCGAAATTGTTCTTTCTACATTTCTAGTAGTAAATTACACACTAATTATTGGTCACTTAGTCCAAATACCTTCTAAGTGCCAAACCAGTTTTCATAAGTATTAGCCGGCGCTGTATTCTTTAAACTGAGAGGTAACGTGAGCATTAACGGATTTAATTTGTAGTATTATTTTGACTCTGATTATATTTTCTTATGTGAAACTCATTACTATCTTTTTGTAGTATCCTGACGCATCATGTTTATCAACCTACTCCGATGTATTCAACGAACTTCAAAAACCCGAGAATCTTACCCACAATAAAATCTTGGATAGTGTGGACGAATACCGACACACGGAGTCATCCAAATTGAGAAATCGCTTCAATGTAAGACACGTATTTAGTCCAAGTAGCAACCCTAAAGGTTAGTTTCATGAATCCTTTATTTAAAACTACTTACCTGTGAATTTTTAAATATCTGTCGACGAGTAAAAACCAAATAACCAAAAAACTTTTTGATGCAAGCTCCAAGTTTACTCTTTCATATGTGCAACCTGAATGATTTAGTAGACACAATCATGGATAAACTCCTATCCAGAGCGTGAACGAATCCCAGACTGCTCTTCACGGATCAGTTTTCTTTGCGTTTTGCAGAGCGTGCTAAGTATGTTAGCAGTCAATATTTCAAGCACTACAAACTGAAGCCCTTTACCCCAATGTCCATCATGCGCATTATGTAGACCGCTTTTAAAAATAGTACATTTGTCTCATTACAGAGCAACCTGCCATACTCTCAAACAATATGACCATTCCTGTGGTTAAAATTGCACTGTCCTGAAAGATAGTCGGGGGGGGGGGGTAATTTATATAGGTTAGATGCTTCATAACAATTGAGGGCTTTTGGTTATTTCTAAGTCCTTACTTCATGAGTGGATAGTTGTTCACTGACTACAAGATACCGAGTCCGGCGTTTCTTCAAAGGGGGCCGGTTAACTTACCTTTTGGTGTGTTCAGCTTTCTCAGGTGTCTGCAAAAAGTGTGGACCAGCGTACTATTGACTCCGTAGATTTCACTGAGACCTGACTCTTTGCAGCCAGTGACTCGGATGAACCGAAACAACTGCTTATTACCAAATGCAACTGTTGCTTCCATACCACTCGCGCGCTCTGACCCACAGATTTCGTAGTCCTTGTGTTAACTCTACGTGATTTGTTGCATAAGTGAATTACGCTTACGATTGTACTCGCCGTCTGCTGGAACACACTGGTGAGCTTCAAGAAGTAGTAAAAATTACATAGATCTTCAATTATTACTAGCAGGACATTCAGTTACAAATAGCTTTGCTCGCCATTCTCATGGTGTCTTGTAGGTGCAGACAATGCTCATCTTTACCTTCTGAAATTTCGACAGCTAGTCCTGAATGTAACTCGGTTGCGATACAGGGAGGAACCAATTTACTTTTTTCAATCGTTAGGATTTTGATAACTACTGAAACGCAGAATGAAACTTAGCACACACTAAAGCGCGTTCAAAATGTAGAAAGGTTTTTCCAGAGGAGTGAATGTCGTGTAATCGGTAGCTGTTTGATTTCAGGTCTGAGTGGTCGAGGGAGGACGTCACGTAGCGTAGCGGTAATGGCTATACTGAGAGTCGGTGCTGCTTGATAATAGGTTGTGATCCGCACAAAACTACTATCAAACGTGTGACTAAATAAACCTCAGTGGTCACCTAAACGACCCTCAGCCTGCTCGTTTAAGTCCACAACTCTGCTATATCTGTCGAGCTCACCTGGTTGAGTTCATTAGATTTATAGTTGAAGTCATCCGTAATTGGATCTGCACTGCAGTCAGTCGAGTTATATAGTAAGATGAAGGGATATCATTTCCGTTGCCAGCTGCTTCTTGTTCTAATAGAAAATTTCAAACTAACAAGGCATAAATGACTTTTAATGTTAGTTGACTAGTGTAACTTTGACTCTAGCACCTAGTGTGACGCCAACATCAGTGAAATCAGATGCCATTGCCATGGGATCGTTTGATATGCATACTATTTGAGCCGACAGATGTTGATTTCAGTCACCAAACAACCGGAGCTGATGTGATTTTTTTCTCAGTCAGTGAAGTGGTTAACTAGTTCAACTACAGTCTTCTATCAGTGCATTTCATAGATGAGTTGCCCGTCTCAGTGTTTAGAAAGATACATATTCTTTGTGTCTTAATCTAAAAGGAATACTTTTTTGGATATTCAAAGTCTGTTAAACAGTTTAAGAATCTTTGTGAGGGCAACGGATGTTGTAGTCGATATGGATTGTATGACAAAGTTAAACGAGTGGAGAGGGTAGATATCTCTGGAAGAACACCGTTTACACACAAGGTTATAAGTCATTCAATCAAAAGTATTTGAAATTTTTTAGATTTTGAAATGCACTCATAAACCTTGTGTACGTTCGTGTGGTTAATAATGAGCCGCGCCTATTGTGTGAGAGCTAAGGTTACCTGAATGCTCAAACCTGGGTAGGTAGAGCGGGGTTCGAGCCCGTGGCCCATTCGTTGAAAGCCATCTCCCTAAACCAGTGAGCCACAATCAATGTTGGAATATCGGGTATTTGCTACGCACACCATTCAACAAGGTACCATTGCAAGACTTAATTCATGGAGTCGAATGCCACCTTGAGGTCAGAAAATGCAGTTATTGTCGAGCACAGGTAATTATGTTTATGTTCTAGAAACTAGAAAATGGTCAAAATCGGATCAATGAAGACGCCTGGAACTAACCTGATTTTTCTTGGGTTCTCTGTTACTGAGCTCCTGTTAGGTGTTGGATGATTATGGAACCTAGGATCGTGGACACGGTCGACCAAACCGATTCCTCTGTTCATCACAAGATGAATTCTCTTCTTGCACAGTTACTTTTCGTAGTGTAGTCACACTTCAGGGAACGAGCTTTCCACATAGAATAGCTGGAGTAGGTCATTACGACAGGCAAGTCTGACGATCACGCTAATAGGGTGGCTATCCAACTACTACTGTGTCTGTATAACTTTCATTTGAGTCTAGAATACATGAATCATCTGTTTTGACTAGATGTGGTTTAATTTTCTTTTCAGAATCTACAAATTCATTTTCACGCCAAAATGTGTTCTGTTCAAATCATATTCCTGCAGAAGTTGATCGTAATTCTAGTGATATAATTGACTTTTGCACAGGCTTGAATGCTGATCAGTTAACGCGAATAAGAAAAACTTCAGAGGAAGCCACTGGACAGGAAGATGACATAGACTCTACGGAGTCACGTGGACTTATTAATAGACAAGTTCAGCAGTCCCAAGATGAATTAGAAGAGGACTTACTTGCTCCAGAACTCTCAATAATTACAGGTTCTTCCACTGTAGCTAATCCTGATGGCGTTTTGGTGTCCACCCTAACGGATGCTGCAACAATGTTATCCTGTAATTCAGTTTCGGGCAGTAGCCGAAGGAAATCTCCCGTTAGACCAATGCAGGTGCTCAGGACGAAAACTGCTCATACTTCTACAGCAGCTACTAATGTTTCACCGAATATATTAGTTACAGGGTCCGATAACAAGTATGTTTCATTGGTTCTCTGATTCCATTTCAGAAAGTACAGTATTTTCTCTGTTTTATCTGATGCAGACAGTTTTTTTGGTTACTTTTAGCCCGTTTGTTTTCACCTCGGCATCAGTTGTTACAAATCCTGTGTATACAAGATCGTCAGATATAGATCTTGGCCATGTTGGAGATGTGCTAACATCTGGGATGTGTTCTGTTTTCCCTGGTAGCAATACACAGTCGTTTGGGGAACCAAATCAATCCACAGAAAGCGGTTTTAGCGTGAATAACTGCGAATTGGAAATTCACTCAATAAATAACCAAGCGCATCAGATTTTATCATCTGGATCACCTCTTACATTAACATCTATTACTTCTATGGCACGAGTTCCTGTTTGTACTGATGGTATTAGTGGATCTAAAGGGAATGTGACTGTATCATCAGGCTTACTACCATCACTTCTTACTCAGTCAATTACACGTCCAGGTAAGCTAATAATCATATCACACCCTGGTACATTCTCGATTAATTGTATTCGTGTTAGAAGTAAAACTTGGGTGCTGTGGTAAATAGTAATTCCACTTAGTAGTTGATTTATTAGGTGCATCACAGTGAAGCAGTATTGTTTACCAGATAACCTTTCCAACAGAATTTGTCCTGCATAACCATCATATAAGGGTAGCTTTACAACTCTGAGGCATTGTCTGTGTTATTCTAATTCTCCTTTGTGATATCGGTATGCCCTAGTAATATAAGGCATTTAGCGGAAGGCTCAGCCGTATGCATACCAATATACTGTCCTACAATGAGTGGAACGAGATGATTCCTTAAAACTTAGGTGGAGAGAGAGATTAATAACCGAATGTTTGTTTATCGAATCAAAATCAAATATCTGCAACGGGGGAATGCCTCACTAGCTGTTCCGGGAATGTGGCAACTTCTACAACCTATATGACGAAGATGGAAGGAGTTAAAACTATGTAAAACATGTCTAAAAGTTGTGGAATTCTCCTGATATGATGACAATGATTAATCCGGTTCAGTAGATAACACTTTCGCTGTGCGAAACATCTAACAAACAGACTAAAATGCAATGAATTGTTTTTACTTTTTGAATTCGTATAATGGATTTTCTTACTGTTGAGTTTGAACCGTGTTGGGAGGTGTAGACTTCCAGGTTGGGGTCCCGAAGACGATAGGAATCAGTGGTTGAGGACTCTTGGTGACATGACTAAAAATTGGTCACAATGGCTCAAATGCATTCGCTCTTTGACATCTAAAGCTTGAATATTTGCGCTGACTTTTATCTCAAAATATTTTATTCTCCCACAACTTCATTTTCTGTGGTATTAATCTTTCCTCATCTTAGTACACCGAATTGTGGCAACTTAAACCGATGCACTTGTGTGTGAGTTTCTACGTTGGTTTAGTCTGTCCGACTGGCTTCATGTAACCATCTTAAATGTTACAGATTTACATGCCTGCAGTGCTAACTTTGTCTATAGTTACTATATGCCTGAATCATATTTTACTTTCACTTTCATACTTCCTAAATTCTAAAGTTCACAGCATTGAAATGTCTAAAAAGTAGTTGGTATTTCCATATTAGATTTGTTTATTTGATATAAAGCGCACAGTGATACAGTATTATTTACTTGATTACGTTTCGAGCATAAATTATTGCTCATAATCATATCAATGTAATCACACTTCTTTCGACATCTGATTTTATAGTCCTGTCACCTGATCTCTCTTTGTTTTTTTGTTTTTTGATTGGTAGTAAAGTTTTCCATATCTCTGGTATAGGTGTTGCGTCATTCCTATTACATGTGTTGGGTGTGAATTCGATGAACAAAGATTCAGTAATTAATCTCTCTCTCCACCTAGCTATATTAGACTTAAGTACAGTGGTTTTGTCCCATCCTATTGTGTGGTTGTGTGTTAATGAATGTAATGCAATGGCTGAGTGTTTTTCTAGGTTATTGATCTTATTGGGGTCTGTCGTTCTATGTTTAGCTAAATTCCTATGTTCTGTTAATCTAACTGACCCCGACCGGCTAGTTTGACCTATGTATTTGACTTCACAGTCATTACATGGAATTTGGTAGATTATATTATTTTGCTTAATTGGTTCTATCGGATCTTTTAGCCGACACAGCTTACCTCTAAGTGAGTTTGTTGGTTTAAATGCCACCCTAATTCCAACCTTGTTGAGAATCCTACGTATGGTTTCTGATGTTCCTTCCTTGTATGGTATCACAATAGAGGTGCTGATTTCCTTTCTACTTATGTTGTCACTATTATTTGTATTTGTATTAGTGTTATTATTTTGCTTCTTATGCGTCCGTGTGAATTTCTTAATAAAATGATGGGGATAATTATTAGTTATTAACGCTTCTTTTATGTGTTTCAATTCCTTATTTAAGTCCTTACAATGACTAGTGAGTTTCTCAGCTCTGTTATTTAGACATTTGACTAAACCCGCTTTAACTGACACTGGATGAGATGACTTGAAGTCTAGATACCTGTTAGAATGTGTTGGTTTTCTGTAGACGGTAGTATCTAAACCACCATCTATCCTTCGTTTTATTCTGCAATCCAACATAGGTAATTCTCCTTGTTCATTTTCTACTTCGTAGGTGAATTGGATTGCGTTAACTACTGAGTTTATGTGTGTCAAGAAACTGTCGATATGTTCCGATTTCAACACTGTAAATGTGTCATCTACATATCGCCACCATATCTTAGGTGTCGGATTATATGTTCGTAAAGCCATATCTTCCCAACTATCCATAAATATATCTGCTACTATAGGGGATATTGGTGATCCCATTGCTACTCCTTCTGTTTGTCTGTATATCTTTCCCTGAAACTTGAAGACTGTCGAGGTTAAGCATAACTGCACTCCTAACATGATTTCACCAACCGATGCCTTGGTTCTTTGAGTAAGTTGTGAGTCAGTATCTAGTTGATTTCTGACTGCCTCCAGTGCCATATTGATTGGTATTTTAGTATAAAGACTTGTTACGTCAAAACTAACCATTTTTTCATCCTCTTCTATGTGCAGGTCATTAAGTTTTTGTTTCAACTCGTAAGAATTTACTAGTCTAGAGTTGGAACGGTCTCTAACAGGACGTAATACTGATGCTAAATACTTTGATATCTCATATGTTGGTGTGTTTCGGAAGTCAACTATCGGCCTAATGGGATAACCTGCTTTATGAACCTTAATAGTACCGTAAATTCTGCTAGGATTATTAGTTTTTGGCATTAAAGTAAACCATTCGGACTTACCTAGAGATGGCTTCAGTCAAACTAATAATCCTAGCAGAATTTACGGTACTATTAAGGTTCATAAAGCAGGTTATCCCATTAGGCCGATAGTTGACTTCCGAAACACACCAACATATGAGATATCAAAGTATTTAGCATCAGTATTACGTCCTGTTAGAGACCGTTCCAACTCTAGACTAGTAAATTCTTACGAGTTGAAACAAAAACTTAATGACCTGCACATAGAAGAGGATGAAAAAATGGTTAGTTTTGACGTAACAAGTCTTTATACTAAAATACCAATCAATATGGCACTGGAGGCAGTCAGAAATCAACTAGATACTGACTCACAACTTACTCAAAGAACCAAGGCATCGGTTGGTGAAATCATGTTAGGAGTGCAGTTATGCTTAACCTCGACAGTCTTCAAGTTTCAGGGAAAGATATACAGACAAACAGAAGGAGTAGCAATGGGATCACCAATATCCCCTATAGTAGCAGATATATTTATGGATAGTTGGGAAGATATGGCTTTACGAACATATAATCCGACACCTAAGATATGGTGGCGATATGTAGATGACACATTTACAGTGTTGAAATCGGAACATATCGACAGTTTCTTGACACACATAAACTCAGTAGTTAACGCAATCCAATTCACCTACGAAGTAGAAAATGAACAAGGAGAATTACCTATGTTGGATTGCAGAATAAAACGAAGGATAGATGGTGGTTTAGATACTACCGTCTACAGAAAACCAACACATTCTAACAGGTATCTAGACTTCAAGTCATCTCATCCAGTGTCAGTTAAAGCGGGTTTAGTCAAATGTCTAAATAACAGAGCTGAGAAACTCACTAGTCATTGTAAGGACTTAAATAAGGAATTGAAACACATAAAAGAAGCGTTAATAACTAATAATTATCCCCATCATTTTATTAAGAAATTCACACGGACGCATAAGAAGCAAAATAATAACACTAATACAAATACAAATAATAGTGACAACATAAGTAGAAAGGAAATCAGCACCTCTATTGTGATACCATACAAGGAAGGAACATCAGAAACCATACGTAGGATTCTCAACAAGGTTGGAATTAGGGTGGCATTTAAACCAACAAACTCACTTAGAGGTAAGCTGTGTCGGCTAAAAGATCCGATAGAACCAATTAAGCAAAATAATATAATCTACCAAATTCCATGTAATGACTGTGAAGTCAAATACATAGGTCAAACTAGCCGGTCGGGGTCAGTTAGATTAACAGAACATAGGAATTTAGCTAAACATAGAACGACAGACCCCAATAAGATCAATAACCTAGAAAAACACTCAGCCATTGCATTACATTCATTAACACACAACCACACAATAGGATGGGACAAAACCACTGTACTTAAGTCTAATATAGCTAGGTGGAGAGAGAGATTAATTACTGAATCTTTGTTCATCGAATTCACACCCAACACATGTAATAGGAATGACGCAACACCTATACCAGAGATATGGAAAACTTTACTACCAATCAAAAAACAAAGAGAGATCAGGTGACAGGACTATAAAATCAGATGTCGAAAGAAGTGTGATTACATTGATATGATTATGAGCAATAATTTATGCTCGAAACGTAATCAAGTAAATAATACTGTATCACTGTGCGCTTTATATCAAATAAACAAATCTAATATGGAACTATATTCTACCACAGTGCCCAAGTTTTTCACTTATAGTAGTTGGTATTTTTCGTGAGTTCAGCAGATGCCTTCCTAATTTGTTTGCTGTCTTCATAAATGATATTCTAGTCCCCAAATGTTTTCATGTAAACTTAATAGCTGTAGGAAACCATCAGTGACTGATACTCATTACTAGTAAGCTTATTGTGTTTTGTTTAGAGTTTGTGAACAAGTCAGTGAGATACAGAAACAAATCTAAGTGAAACCTGGCGCAGATATACATCGGTTTCAGTTGTCGCACTTCACAGCAACATGCAAAAATGAAGTAGGTAGAAAAATGGATCTGAAAGTAGCCATAGTGTACGAGCCAAAATGGGATAAGGGGGTTCATGAAACTATTCAAGGTTTCAAAGATGATAAAAAGTGTATGCACCTGCGCGATTGTGACTGATTTTCTACAATTTCACCAAGGATCTCTATCCATCGACTTATATCTTCTCCTTCAGGTGATCTACTCCTTCCTACATGGCTCGTATTGACAGTCACACTTAATGTACTAGTCTCATATCTTGTTTTTGATGAACCTGAAGCGTCTCTAACTCTATACATCCTATTTCAGTTAACGATGCTCATTGGAATAGGCGGTTATTCGGCATTCGCGACATATCCAAACTGCTCCCATTGCGGAAAGTTTGTTATTTCGACGACCAATTTGGCTTGCATGTCGATTAACATGCACCTAACGTTGACATCACTCGCCTAACATGCTTAAAGCTAAGGAAAGAAAGCATCAGGATTAGGTAATAGATGACAATTATTTATGCTTATTAGTATAACTGGTAAGAAGAAAACGATGGTTAATGAAACCATCACTGAAAAGGATTAGTACCTGATAACGTCTCAAGGAAGGCGACTAGAGCGTTGGACGGAACACTAAAAAAAGTTCAGCAGGCCTACACCCAAGATTAAGCTGTCCAGCTTTATATCCCGATTCGAATAGGATGTAGATGCTGGTGCCTCAACTCTCCTGGAGACTAAGTAGTCTGTTTCAAATCTGAAACGATGTAGAGCAGCAAAACCTCACGGTGTGCCACCAAAGGTTTTGAAGATGGAGGCAGGAAATTGCTAACTAGAGTAACAGAGGTCCTAGGTAGTGTATAGAAACAAGAGATAGTCCCATCTGACTAGTTTATATAACTGATCATTCTAGTCTCCATAAGAGGAGAGAAATGCTGTGATATCCCCATAGCAGAATCAGTTTAGCTAACATCGTGTTCAATATCCCCGGGGCCTTAGTTATCCGACGCCTAACTGAAGCTCGGATGCAACAAACTTAAGAAAACCAGGCAAGTTTGAGATCTGGATGAGGGTGCATCGATCAAATTTTTATTCTTTGATAGGTCGTGGGACACAGGCATACTTACTGGGAACACTCTTGACCCTGTCGATCGAGAGGCGTTGTGACGGTATCTGACTATGTAATGCTAACCAAAGCTCTCTACTCGAACTCATACAACCGTGTAAAGAATTACCAGGAGTTGTCATTTGAATTGATAATAACCATTAATATCCATCAAGGATGCCCATTGTCATCGTTCCTGCTTAAATTCGCTTTAGATGTACTGATGAACATAATCTTGGGTAACTCGGATTTTACAGGAGTTGATCTATTCTCTGAACGGCATCTGCTTGACTTGGAGTACACAAACGCTGAACCCCTTCAGCGGGAATTTGAGTAGGTTTGGCATGCGCTTTTCACCTGTCAAATGTAAGATGATGTTTCAGGACTGGTTTACACCGACCCCTAGTTTAAAGGATAGAGAGGGAAGTGATAGAGTGCGTTGACCACTTCACCTACTTGAGAAGCTGCATCAGCTCAAATGGATTGATTGCTAACGAATTCTCGTTTTGAATACAAAAAGCTACTTTCGGCATTTGATAACTTGCATCATCTCTGGCACCGGCGAAATATCCAACTACTCTTCCACTGTCTTGCTTAACGGCTGAAACGGCCTCTGAAAGTAGGTTTAAAGGGATTACAAGTGTCTTCATAGCATTACTCACGCATGGTGGAACCACCACCGTGTGAACAATTTAGAGGTTAGCCGAATTGTACTAAACAAAGAAAGCAAGTCAGTCGATAAAGTTGTGAACCCTCACCGACTAAAAATGTGGACGTGTTGACCATGTTGAACCACTGCCTACTTGAATGTATGATGTTAGTCGAAATAGGATTGGGTTGTAAAAAGGCTAGAGGGTTACTGAGCCAAGATGTGGCACCAGCCCATCAAGTATCTGACTATTGGTCTGAACCGTGTAGACAGATGCAGACTGTCTGGCTGACGAGAGGCGTTTCAGGCAATAGAGGAATCAACGAATGAAGATTGCCGTTGGCATGGCCGAAAATAGGTTACAATAGTGCGGATATATTCACTCCTTGGTGTCTTCTAAAGTTTGAACATTCTCATCAACTTTGGATTTCAACATACTTTTTCTCTCATACACTTCAGGTTATTTTGGCATCACTTTCATAGCTACCCGGTTTTTTGCATGTTTCTAATAAATGACCAGCGCTATCCAGTTGTGTTAGGAGAAGTTGGATGTAGTATGTCTTGTATGATATGAATGAATTTGTTGGAGAAGTACATAGAAGATGCACGCTCTTGTTGTTATTATTTGTTTATATGTGACAGTGTTGTGATGATACCTTGCGTGGCCACATTGCTTGTGTTTTTTATCGAGGTTATTAGTGTCTGTTCTGATGTTGAAGTTGTTTCTCAGTTTTCCGCTGAGCTGAGCTTGGCTCTTTAATTTATTGTTTGTCTAGTAGTTCGTCTTTTTAAAAATATAATATCTTATATGTTCACACGAAGTTACATACATATGTACCGACCTATAACTGTACATTCGCGTAACATGTCTAAATTTCTGAAAATTAGATTTATAAGATTTTTTAAGTAAAGCTTATGGATATTTGCGCAGCAAAGGCATACTTTTGGACTAATAAAAGATTTGATACAACTCTATTGCAGCGTTTTGAGCATCTGAAAAATCGTGTGTGATGAAAACTGCTTTATTTCACTCTTACACGGGTGTTACTGATTTATCTCTAGCTGCAGAAGTTACAAGCAATAGTTTTTTCGGATTATGGTGATCATGCGTTTAAAAAAAATCTTGTCATTTGATATGCCACTTAATGTCCTATTCCCATATATATTAACCATCTAAAGTTGTTCAGTTTCCGTTACTTTGCTTATGCTTTAAGGGTGCATTTGATCCAATACAACACACTGATAAAATGTAGAGTCTTTCGAATGATGTGGAGGGAAATGATTTGGATTCATTTCGCGTTTGTGCATTGTGAGAGGATGATTTAAGACTGGTTTGCATCGACTCTACTTGGGAATAGGAAGGGAAGTGGTTAAACGCACTGGACGCTTCTCTTGAGAGTTTGCATCAGCCAGAACAGCTGGTGGGGGAACCACGATGTCAGTAATGTTGATATCAGGTGTAGAGTACTAACCAAGTGAGTCAATGAGGTTATGAATTGTGACAGACTGAAATCGTCTGGACATTTACTACGCATGCCGTGCTGCCGCCTACTTCGATGCACGATGTCATTCGAAGTAGCATTAGAAAAGGATATGGCTCAGAGTGGCCGGATATAGATGTGATACCAAGTCATGAAGTTTGACTGTTGGTCTGAATCGTGTACTGAGATGTAGGCTATGACTAAGGCTATCGATACTTTAGGAGTCAGGAGCTAAGGACTGTCGGTCGTCATGGTGCGGTTGCTTGTAGTTTTTCATCTTCGAAATTTTAAAAGTTTCCTTCATCTATTTATTCTCTTCTATATGCTGTACTTTTGTCTACTTTAATACCATTCTCTTTTATCCACTTTATCCCTTGCTTATTGATGTGAGATGTAAGGTCTTGAACAGCTACATTTTTGTGCGGCGTCCCATGTTTCGTATGAGGACAACCCTAATAGATCGATTGAAAAGGGTAAAGAACCAAAATTAACTAAATTTAACTCTAACTTAGTATGTGTATGTTTGGTATTGAAAACGTAGCATCTTTTATTATTAGATACACCACTGTTGATTTTTTCAGACCTTGCTAGGGGTCATTTACTGAGTGAGAATAGTGTTTAACTCAGTATTTGAGTTTGGTAAATGTTACTGATAGTTCTTTCTTCATTGTCGCACTTTAAGGTGAAAGCATATTCCTTTTCGAATAGAATCAAAAGCAGCTCAGCAACCTTGTACACGTCCGTGCAGTCGGTACTGAACCACACCTATTGTATGAGGGTTAGTGTTACCACCTGGGGGCCCAATTCTCGGTAGGTGGAGCAGTGTTCAAACCCGTGACCCACTGGTCGAAAGTCATCTCCCTAAACCAATAAGCCACAACTCCATCCTATTTGATTCAAAATTATCACACAGTATCGCTTCTTTTGGCTCAGTGTGTTGTTAGGTGTACTAGTGCATGATGCTTTTATAGAAAAACAAATCAAAAGGTGGGTAAATGAATGTAGACTCAACAAAAATAGGAATTATGTACTGTCAAAATTCATGTGTCATCAAAACTGCTAATTTGGTTACCCATTCCTTCTAATTTTAAGATGCAATTTATAAGCATATCCGTAGCTGCACAGCACATGCTAATTGAGGATATATATATATATATATATATATATATATATATATATATATATATATATATATATATATATTCGAACTTTATCTCTATATGGTACACGAGGTAGACGATTAGGTATATGTAGCATATTCTCTAGTCATAACAGTCACCGCATGTTCACTTTTTGTTGACTGTTAAAAGTCCTGCACTATTTGATATCACTACACATGAACAATACGTCAAAGATCGGTTTTCAGGTATATGGTACGTAATGAGTTCCAAATTTAACAACTATATTTCCCAGTCACATAGAGAATCTTCATTCAGATGACCATGATTCTTAGATCTGTTTAAACATATGCTATGACCAACACATTCAAATATGTGTTCACTTATTCGTAAGGTTGCAAAATTTTTCACTTGATTTACTTTTGTTCACACTTAGAACTTGAAAACAATGTTTTCTGGTTTCTTTACATTTTCATTTTTTCTCTGTGCTACAACAGAGTTAGTGCATTTTCAAACCTTGTGATCTTTTTACACTAACGCAGTTTAACTGTTCATAAATCGTGTTATGCATTTTCCTATTTTCAGTTTCGGTCATACAGCAGCCCATCATTTCCCGTGTTTTTATGACCCCGAACACGACGCGTCCAGTCACAACTCCTGCTACTAAACCCATAATATCTGTTCCTCCTTCAACTCTTGGTCCAATTTCTGCTCGACGGCGTCCTACTATTTTAAAACGAACCCCAGGAACAGGTAGTTCCGCATCTTCCAACTCGTTGATCACATGTCGTCCAGCTGGTAATATTTAGCACTTTTCACTTACTCTGCATTTTTTATTTGTCAGATTTATATTTTATCGTGCCTCTGGATGCTAAAGAAGTTACTTTCATCACTCTTTAAATTTTGTTTTACTGATTGCGACTGTTACAGCTGCTGTTCTGTTACAGCAGAAGTTACTAAAGTGGGACAGCCGAAATGTGTCCAGATTACGAAACCAGTGTAAAATGATATCACTACAATATTTCCAAACACCACTACCTGACGTTATTAATACTTTCACGGTAATGTCATGAGATGAAAACGGTGTTAGTCTGACGAAGTTTAATGAAGGTTCATAACGCAAAAAGTAAAAGTTCGTTAAATACAACAGCAATGCATTTCCGGTTAAAACAATGTCCTAAGTGAAATACCTTTGTCCCTAACAGTATTTGTATCTGTATGACTATTGCGTTAACCTCTTGCATTCCGAGGTATAAGATTTCTCTAATGAGTCAAGAGAGTGATTTCACACAGACTTCTATCAATCTTGATGAAGCACTTTCCTAAAAAATCCCCAGTAAATTTAAAGGAATCATGTTTTCACAGTGTAAGGGGTTGGTTTAAATACAGAATGAAGTGAATGCTAAATCAACAGTGTTTTCATCTGTAAGACTTTATGGTTTAAGTTATCAACAAGTTAACTTAAGTTATCAACAATCATTACACAGCGAAATTGTTAAAGGTAAAAAGTCCTTTCCATTGTATCAATAGTTTTGAAGGTGATAAGCTGATATTGGTTTCTTATTCTTCTTGTACTTATGTTTATTCTTCGGACCTCAGTTTTCTTGGAAATTGCCTTCTGATCTCAGTCTAAATTCCATTCTGTGACCAGTCCCACTTTCTGATGTGAAAAATCATATCTGGAAAAGTCCAAGTTCAGATACTAAAACAGGTTAAGTTATGACAACTTCGTGATATCACTCTTACAAGCTAAGTTGTAGACTATTACTGTTGTTGTGACTGCTTTTGTCAAGTTTATGAGCAGTAGATGACTGGAAGTAGTCAAAATGCAGTTTATTTTCGCCAGTATTTATGATTATGGTTTTGTTCGTCCTGTCATGTTGGCAACTAGCAACAGTGTGTGCTTCGTCCAAGTATGAAGCAACACAGTGCTTTTCGATCGCGTTTTGTATTATCTTCGTGACTAGTGGGAGACCTTCAAATGTAATTAACAAATCCATTTATTTTACTAGTGTGATACTAACTACATAAAAAAGAATGGCTCAAACCTATGGTTTTAAATATCAGCAGACTAAGCTATGCATTCTGAAAGTTTTGTAGCTTATCGATCTTATAGTGATGTTCTTCTACTTTCCAGTCTTTGAAACATCGGAAAGTGATGCTGATTTATCAGCGTCACCTTCTAACCGTGCAATTGGTGTATTTAACTCTGGTACTTCTTCACAACTACAGAAACCTATCAGCCTGATAACTACTGAAGAGTCGGGATCTTCCAGCAATTTGAGTAATGCAACCACCAAATTATTACAATTAGTTACCACACCATCAACTCCTTCAGAACGCCTAAATCCGAATCAAACTGCCAGTGATCGTTTGTTTGGTAAGCGTCTTGTTGCGTATAACAGAAATACGTCACAAACTCCTATAACATCATCAACCCCAACCCAGAATTCAGTAACAACTTATCAAAGTTCAACGTTAACAAGTAAGCTTAGTGTTTCATTTTATCTAAATAGGTTCATCTTATTCACAGCTAAAATACTAGTTATAAATTTTCTTATAGGCGTTTTAAACTGTCTAAATTTCGAAATAAATTGCTTCTTGATTCAGACGTAAAAAACTCAGAATATTTTTGGTTGTGTTCCTCCTTTCATGATAGGTAGAAGGAGTACTAAGTGCCGTCAAACTATGCAGACAACCAAATATTCTTCAGTAATTCGTGGTTGCCGAAGGATTGGATTTCGTACCGAATTATTACTTGATATTGCATAGATGGGCATGGGTTAGTAAAAGCTAATCGAGCGTTTTATGCCTGTGCGGAGATTTAGTTGGTCACTGACCCACCAGAGCTGATCGGACTTCTTAAATAAGTGAAGTAACCAACACACTCAATGTTGTTCGATGAGGCGCTAACCCAGACCAGTTGCTTAGCAACAGTTTGCAGTAGGGTGATGAAAAATGCATCCCGAAAATTCTCAAACTGCCACTCAAAGTGTTCAGATGGTTCTGCATCCCGTTAACGTCGCCCAGCAGGATTATGCATTCTGTGTGCTCTACATCGATCAGTGATTTCCCTATAAATAGGTCAATCCCTGTTAGTTTAGATAAGAAGACGAAAGGTCTCCATAGGAACGTATATGTCCAAGTTAAATAGAAATGAAGAAAGTGAGAGATCTTTGGCCAACATCACTCGATGAATACAACTCAAAATAGGCTCTAGTACACCCACAGATGTTTAAACATAGTGCCTTCAACATATTGATGCACTTAGTCAGCACTTTCCAGTAAGACATTGCTATGATGCCTCTTGATCAACGGCGTCAAACGCTGCCTTCAGATCAACAAATACAGCTATTGTCCGACGCTAATAATTGAGTTTGGGCTTCAGAACCTTGCGGAGGTTGGATATCCGGTGGACACACTCATGATGAAATCGGAAGCCTGTGCAGTTTCCTCATATTCGCTGTTCCTGAGCTTCAATTAGGTGTCTAATGGTTACTGAATCTTAGGCTTTATGTTCGTCAGATTGTTTCGCCAGCTGTTATCGCTGGAGAATATCTTTTGTTTGGAAACAGACAGTTGAGATGGGATCATATCTGACCACCATACACTGGCTAAAACTTCAATAATTCAACCAGTAGTCCGCTGTCATCGTCCCTAAATACATATAGTACTAGCCCACCTGAGGCTTGCTGTCTTTCGTTTCCTATCACTATTAGCCTTTGAAATTTCTGTGATTGTTGGAGGTCTCCTCCCAGTTCTCGAATCGGAATGTGACTAAATAGCACACAATCGAAAACTAGCTGAAAGCCAGTTAAACTGTCCCTGTAAATGTTTCACCTATCATTGCAACCGTCTACCCTGGGAGCAAACTGCAAGCCCATTCTCCTCTGCTGTGGTCTAACTAACCACTGAGTCTTTGATTCATTTTCCTTGATAAAACGAAATGTCTATCACCACTATTTTTTCCATCTTTTTGACCTTCGCTGACCACCACCACTGACGACCATTGCATAGATTGTTCATCAACCTACATTTAGTTGATTCTGCTCCTCATTGTATTAAACGCATCCAGGAAGGCATTCATGTACATACATTATTTCAGAAGCTACTGGAATCTACCAGTCCTTTTCGGTAGAACTGTGACTCATTGGTTTGGGTAGCTGGTTCTTAACCATTTGGTCACGAGTTTGAATCCCATTCCAACTGTCGAGCTCTTGGCAGCCAACTAGTGTCATAGCCCTTACATAGTAGATGTCGCTCATTGCCCATTGCACGATCATGAACATAGTTGCTGAGTTCATTATGGTTTTCATATTCTCTTTCTGGGTGTCAGGTCTTTAATTTTGTCCTCACAACAAACTAGAGGTATCTCTAAGTTCCTTCAGGATAAGAGTAGTTTTTTATAACTGTCTAGTCAGCCCATTTTTGAAGGTAACCTTTCTCTGTTACATCGTCATTTGGAGACTGTTTCGATCAATCTTTCGAATATTACTTCACATTTCTGGCTAATGGAAAGGTTTTCAAGTCAGTCTTCCAAATACCAACTCGTCCAACACACTAAAACAAACTCAGGAAAAAAGGAAAACAATAGTAATAGAGAATAGTTTTAAATTCGTTGCATGCAACTACATACACATATTTATCATGTAGTGCTGTGGTTTACTGGCTCAATCCTCCTACTGTTAAGCGATTGATCTCAAGTGCAAATCAGATTCCATCTACTTCTACATGGGCAGTCTGGTAGTTTCATAAACTCACACACTAATTATTGATCATAGGGTATTACGTTAATCCACACGGAGTCTGGTTACACTAAAATCTTCACATTACTTAATCATTATAACAGGTAATTTCATATTCCACGTAAAAAGCCCACCGCTACCGAGTAAACTATTTTGTTAGCGTTAAGGAAGTTTAGATTGGCTAAGTAACTACCTTGGTTTTTGAATTTTGTGTATCGTTGTGATTGTCTGATAAATCCTACTGTTGTGAGAGAAGTAACTAGAAAGGCTAGCGGTCCCTATGAATGATGTAAATTTTGATGACGGGGTTTTATATTTGCAAAATGGAAATAAAAACGTTCATGAAACACGAATAAGTTCTTATATATATATATATATATATATATATATATATATATATATATATATATATATATCTTCGAAACAGATAGAGGTCTAGTAATAGTAATCAGAGAAATCAAGCGTCAACTTCAAGGATTAAAATGGCAGACAAATCGATGCAGGTAAGAAATAAAAACCACAGATCAACATTACGCAGATATCCTTAGTTCTCAAAAAGCAGTTTGGTTTAATCTTTAGATGAATGATAACACAGTCATAACGTTGCGGACTACGAGCAGATTAATGACCAAATAAACACCACCTACAAAAGTAAAAATAATTAAGATTAGAATAGATGAAACATACATATGCTTTTTTAGTTCAGGATGAATTCTACATAAATACTGAACTCACTTTATTATGAAGCAGCACTAAACAACAGAACTACTAGAATATCTGGAACTTGAGCTGCTAATGTTCACCACCGTATCAAATTATTGTCGCATCTTATCTATACACTCATAATACTATTAAGAAGTAGGTTATAGGAGACATACATCTGATCCTTACGATCTTCGTTGATGTCGGATTGATTGTTGTACTCGTTATTGGTCTTGTTTATTTCGTTAGAATTAGCTGAAAAATTGACCAACTTGCAGATTAACATTACAAACTAAATTGACTTGAACTTAGCATTTCTTTTCATTTAAATCATAGTGCACTATTTTGAAACCAATCATTTGATGATAGTCACTTAACGCATCTTTCTTGGTATTTGTCAATTGCATTTCCGCGATTCTTAACTCATGAATTTACCTAAAGTATGTGATAAATAACAACTAACAATACTTGTGTATATAGAGTCATAACCTGTTTAAAGAAATAGAGGATATCGTTTTTCGCTAACATTCATATTATGTCCTACAAAAAGTGCGCAATCACGGCATAGACACTTGTCATCCTTATTTAATTGCATAGAGGATTCTAGTATTTCGATATGTTTCTATATCATATCTTGAATATCCAACTTTACAGGGCTTTTGTTTGCTATCAGGTTGGAATTCATCATTGACTGATATCAGTTGGAAAGACGTTGTAGACCTGGGATCACTGGGCGGCTGTTTCGCCACAGTATGGGACTCCTCAGCAGTGCACATCCATGACCTTCAACCCCATGGCCAGCACGTTACCATTGAGTCACTGGGTCGGAATTCACTGGTATATATTTCCCGCTTGTGTCAGTTCACGATATAGCGCGATCTGCATCTGATGTCGGCGTTGAGTAAGTGTCCTCATCCTCCACTTGGTTGACTCCACTGGTCAAAACTTTTCTTTGGAACTTCTGGATTAATCTCTCGAAACTAGTCACTAATCAGCACTAGGTTAATTCAATCTGGAGGTTTGTGTAGACCTATGAATTGAAACCTTTTATTCAGTAATGTAGGAGTAGATGACATAATTTCAAGTTGATTCTGTTATGCACATACATTTTTTTAGATACAACTACTAATACTACAACTCCCTATCGTTATGCTGTTGTCCGAGGTTCTGCTGATGGGAAGCAGTATGTCCTAATAAGCAATCCGCGGTTAGTTGATCAAACGGTGAGTTTAACCACTTCAGCTAAATATTACGAATCCCTTTTTTGTAGTAATTATTTATAAAAGATATCCATATTTCTCTTGGTTTACTTGCAGCTAAGGGGATATCAGTCCCCTCGATGTTAAAGATATGCCTTGCTAAAAATAGTTGACAAGCATGAAACCTAGATTTAGGGCTTCCTGTCAATTATTTCCAACAAACCCCCTTTGCCAAAACTCTGAAATCTCGATCAATAGATGTATTCTGTGTTTCTCAGACATTTGTACAAGATCCTAGCCTTGTTATTCACTTGACCACATTTGGCTAGTGTAGTGAATCTCTGAGATTCACGTCGTGTGTTTCCTGAAATTCGATGACTAGTTTCTGTTGGTGTGGAGCAGAAAGTGTACTTCACGACTCGATACCAGTCGATGACTGTCCATCTATGCGCTCGTCGATAACCTATTTGCAGTTTGTGTTTCCTGCTGTTCAGACAATGCAAATAATGTTTTATCAGAAGTTTTCAATTTCATTACATAAGGAAAACGTTTAGGTGTAGTCATACTAGTGAACATTACAGCATTCAAGTATGGAATCTAGCCCAGTCGGAAAGGTATCTCTGGGGTATCTATAGAATTCTGTTTTGATAACCGGACGCCGGTGTTTGTCAATTACAATCTAGTTTTGACAATCAATTTTTATTGACTAGCACTGATTTCAAAAAAAGAAGAGGTACCGTTTCACTCAACATTCGCCGACAACCAACCGTGAACGGAGCTAGGTCATGACGCTATCACTCATCAGTGGGAAGTTGTCACTTTTAATGGTACTTGCTTGGACTCCGATCATGTATTAGTACGATCACCATTTGCGTTTGTAAAGCGGATAGATTATCATTTATATGAACATGCCAGTAATTCTCTTCCTGATAAAAGCCTGATATAATATTCAGTTTACTACATAGAATCAGTGATACCGACAGTTACTAACCTATAAACGAAGATAAACAAAACCATTGGATTTCCACAACCTCATCCGAACTGATTATTGCAAGAAGATCGATTCTATCTGTCTCTGACGTGCGAAATTAGCTTATGCGCAAATTCATTAAAAGGCTTTGCGATGACAGTGTGTATTGATTGGTGGCGAAAGTGACGGATAAGGTAATCATTACGTTCCACCCGGCATCGTTACCGTCTATCCTGATAGGTCATCAGCTTCCCATCCTTTTCGGTAATAGTTTCTTTAACCATCTTCTTGCCAGTACCCTTAACAAGCGTAAACAATTTTTGGGTTTTACCTAATGTTTATGCCTTCCCCACTTCTCTCGCTTTCGCTACTCACCACTGCTTGCGATCATTGCAAAGATGCTTTGTCAATTTACATTTAAGCTGCTTTTACTCTTCATTTTGATTGAAGCCCGGTGGTAACAGTCTTATCGTATCAATCTGTTCAGATGAGGTTTTGGAAATTCAATGACGTTTTCCAACCGCTGGGCATAGGTTGCCAACTGTTTTTGCTGCTGTTTCTACAATAAATTGATTATCTGATCAAGTTTCCTCAAAATAAAAATTGCTGTTACGTTCACACATATACTTAGCTGTCTCCTCCCTAAATACGCACTTGGCGTCCTCATCTTTCAGTCGAGCATAAACAGGCTTTACCATCACCTGTTTCCTGCGACTGTAAGGCGCAGATACACAAGTCCGCTTAGTAGTAGCATGGAACTGGCGTTATGATAGGGACTTCAGAAGAAGCGGTATTTGTCCACCGATCCTCTTCAACAGTGGTTTATTGCAGCATGATCTATCTGTATCCATCGTTGATCGGAGGTCGGCGGACGCCATATGAACACAGTGTATCTTGAAGTATGCTTGATGTTGGTGGTGGCGAAAAATGAGTTGTCGGGACGAAATTGCAGCAGACGATCACCGTTGTCGGTTTGTTGGTATTAGATTCTGTAGGTATCCTTAAGATGCCTTTCCGATTTACTCAGCTCCCCTACTTGGGTGTTGAAGTCACCTGCTATCGTGACCATATCCGGGCGTTTTGCTTTCTGCATCAAAACTGACAGCTGATGATAGAATTCATCTTTTGCATCATTTGAACTGCTATCTATTGGTGCGTAGGCGGAGATTACGAATAGGCATAGGTTGGTTTCACAATCCTTCCTATTTCTTAGAGATCCATTCAACCAAAATGCAAAAAGACGGTTGTTGACTGGTATCCGGTCAAGAAGTGCGCTTTCTTTTGTTCAGCTGTACCAGTGAGTCCGCAAGAGCTAGCCATTGAGTCTCCGAACAGGAACTCGGGACATCCCAGGAACAAACACTGTACATGCATTGTCGATGCAAGTTTAGTAATAGTTAGGTATTCACTTCCATGTTAAATTTTTGTCAAAATTGTTGTCGATTCATTCTGTACTTTAGGGTTATGAGTGACTGTTCTTGTGAGTTTGAGAAAATCCCATGTAGAACTGGTAAGTTTCACAGAATATTTACTTCCTTTAGGAATTCAGTTATTCCCCATACTCTTACTAACGTTGAATCATCAGGCTATCCCTTCTGTACAAACTGCTTTTGAATCCCTTTTCACAAGTTTTTAGATTATCAAAAGTTGTTTATAGAATTACAATGTGATTAAATCTTTATCGATGTTTAGTAGGTCAACACTAGATCAAAAAAATCTGTTTTAGAGTGTATGAGTAAGTTGTCTCTCAAATCACAGTGATTGCGTAATAAAGAAAAGGTAAGACAAGTTTGTTAGTAATATGAGGGTTGTGATTAGGAAATACAGACTAAGAAAAAGAGGACAAAATAATAATACTGATAAATCTTAGGAAGATTACGACCAAGGTGAAATGAAAGATTGGACGTACCTCTTTTAAACGCAGACCAGGCTTTTACTGGTGAATAACCTTGAAAATGTTTGACTTCACTCTACAAGTGACTCTCAAAGAAAAACTGGCGAAAGATAGGAAGTAGATGTTTTAAAATCGAACAATCGGTCGATTTGCATTCTCCTCTTGACATTTATGAAGTATGGTATTCAGAAATGTATTTGAATAAAACATGTTTTCTACAGCCTCTGTCATTCTGCTGCTGTTAGTATTTACTGGAACTGCTAATTGAAAATATTGCGGGAAAAACAAGGATTTTAATCGTAATACTTATGTTCGAAGCAGTCCCATGCAACTAGCATTTTTGTGTTACTTGTTCTTATGCCATGTATTTATTTTTCTAGCTTCTGAACGACTTTTCATTTGGTTTTAATCTTTTAGGTTCATGAAAAACCGATTGTCACAGTGACGACATCTGTAAATGATGCTACCCTTGAACCTGCCAACGTTTCAACATCCCTTATGGGTGAAAACTACAGCTCTGAACAACTTTTCCCTCTCGAATCATGTATGTCACGAGCCTTTAAAGTGGAAATCAATGGTGCACACTTGATTCGGACGAACTCAGAAGGGTGTTCCATGCCTGGGAGTGATCGGCAGATCAGAACAATTTATACTACTGCTCAAGGAGTTACAACTATGGCAGCTACATAATTGACAAAACTGAATAATATTTTGACTCATTTCATTACCAGGTATACTTTTGTTCATCATTGAAAGTTATGTTTCTCAAGTTAGTCACTCTGTAATTGTCATTCATTGTTATATAACCTTCTGGGTAAAATAACTCACTTTTATCAACCATCTTGAACATCCTAGTCGCTTATTGAATCAATCGCCTTACCTCTTTTAACCTTTAGCTTTTAATCCTAACTATGTATGGATGTATCCGCTCGTCATACCTTCTCCTATATTTACAACATGTCATTTGCACTAGAAGAATTGGTATATTTATATATATGTATATCCACATGTATGAAGATAAGTGAGCTTATTTTTCATATTTCCCTGAATCTAATCTTGTATAATGTATAATATATAACTTGATTTCCTTTTTGTAACTTATATTGCGCCTTCATTCTCTGTTCAGTCGTTTTCATGTGTGTATGTGTTTCCCAGCTTATTTTTCATGTCTGAAAATTTTCCTCAGCTAAATGATAATTCCCGTTTTTTCATTCAAGGGAAATATAGTTTTGTACTGAATGAAACATGTTAACAATTGGAAAGCGTTGTATCTATCCTTTTCTTGTTGTGAATTGTTATATAAGTTATATTAATATGTGATATAAAATAATCACTTAAGATGAATCGGTTTTCTGTAAACTTTTGTTTGTTTTTTTGTCATCATTTGAAGAGAATAAGACAATGTATATAGTGATGGTTTTCTATGGTGTCCAGTTCAATAACCAATTGAATGTGTGTGTGTTGATAGTGATATTTTGTGAAAGTTGACATGCAAGTGTTTAGAACTCGTACCAGATTACACGATGTATTTTGCCACTGATTTCACACATACATTTTGCCAATGACACTTGAGGTTTGCTTTAAGTGAACTCTTAAATTTATTCAACTCCAATAAAATTGAAGTGAGAGAATTCACTCGAAAGGCCGTTTTGTTTTGTGGGTTTTCTATAGTTGGGGGGGGGAAACAACACTTGCGAATGAATTTTCCTTAGACTGTAGCTATAAATATAGTCCACTTTTGTTTTTGCTGACCTTACTTCAACAATAGCTAAGGGGCTTCGCTGACTGTAATGACTATTTTTCAAGTAGTAGGTAGTAATGAAACTGAAACCAGCTCAAGTCATAGTATAAGCATTTTTCTTCTGTGGTGAGAGAGGAAGATAAAATTCATAGTGCTGGTTGGACAGGAATGTGATGATTGTAATAGGGTGTTTCCTTACAAAGACCAGCATCCCAGTTGTGCTATCCTTATGTACTTGGAAACGGCCTAAAAAATCCAACGATACAATCGTCACTTAAAACTATTTCTCAGGTTGTAAGGTTATCTTTGTAAATCCAACTCCATAACTGACTAGTTGACAAAATCAAAGTAGAACCTTGCACCCAGATGTATCGGCTCAAGTTGCCACACTTCGTAGTAGAACACAAAGAACAGGTGAATAGGAAAAGATTGATGTCACAGTAAATAAAGTTGTGCAAGAGAATAAACAATCTGAAGGTTAGTGCAAATATTCAATCTTTAGAAGATGTCAAAGGTGAATCGTAGTATCTTTGACCGATTTCAGTCCAGTTGAAGTGTATGCACCTATAATTTGAAGGACACCATTCATTTGCAACGAAAACTTTGTTAGTGTTACCGTGACTAATAATTCAAACATGAGATGCCCAGGATCAGCGAACTTAGCTGCTGAGGTAACTAGCAGCAACAGACAAATAATACATTATAGTGACCGTATGTTATATGACATGCAGTAGTCAGTCTGTCACACTATCAGCGTATTTCAGCAAATCTGACTATAAATAAAGAGTAGTGCAGCAAAATACTGTAACAATGAAGTACTACTACTTGTTATACAATAGGTTTTCTAACAAATCTCATTTTCCAAAGCATCAGTTTGTCTCAACAGTGGATACGGTTACAATTTAAACGGTAAAGTTCTTATCATGGTTTTCTAATCTCCCTAGAGCGCTGACTTGGCATGTAGAGTACTACAACTTCTAGTGTACACAATTCAGACTTGTTTCAATCACTCCATAAAATTGAAGACAATGCTATCGTTGTATATTTAACCCTTTTTGTTATTTGTAAATGCATAAATACAACTAAATCGCAAACTCAATGTATTTCAATTCAGAAAAGTAAAATAATTGATTCGATGCATTGTAAATGGACGTATGCACAATAAGTACTTATCTTTTAAAATTCGCTATTACAGGCACACCTGTTACATACCTACCTTTGTTGACCTCTACACGGTCTTCATATGAGTCATTAACAGTGTCAACCTTACTTTTCTAAGTGATTTCATGACCTGTGCTGAGGCTGGCTAACTTCAGTCGATTATTTGTTACTTCCCCTCTTTAGTTTGATCTCTAATTGCAAACAGACTATTTACTTAAACTGGGTAGATGATTGAAGGTCTAATGATATTTTTGACTGCGATCGGATTTGAACCAGTGACCACTGGGTTCCCACCCCAGTGCTCTACCAACTGAGCTACGAGGACCAACTGCTGACCAGATTCTTGTTTCACTTCAGTCACCAAGGGTTTTTCCCGACTACCATGCGAATTCGTGATGTGTTACTACCGCTTGATCGTATTCACACTGGGTGTCCAATCAGGACTTCTCATTTCAATGGAAAGGTAACTGAATTAGAGAGGAGGAGCATCATATTGACTATGTGAGATAGCGGTGGTTCGTCAGACTAGTATTTATACTGGAAGATAATTGAAGGTGGAATGAAAATTTCGGCCGCGGTCGGATTTGAACTAGCGACCACATACTTGTTTGTTTTATATACTACCCTGCTTAAACAGGTGTAATTAGAGCAAGAAGAAAGCTATTAGCAGAATGGTATGGATAAATTATTTTTCGGGGTCTTATCAGTTGCTTACAACAAAAGATACTACTACTAAACAACCTGCGAAGTTAGAAACCACTCGGGCTGATTTGTAAATTTTGCCGGGCAGATCAAAATGATCTAAACACCGGTCTGTCATTTTGCTCGCTTGCAGCCGAGCTCATCAGTGGTGTAGCTGGACAAACTCAGCCTTTAGAGCCAGACTAGTTCAGATTACCTGGCCAGTTGACTTGAATGATCCAGTATACTTAAAGTAGAATGATCAATATGCAAATAATTTACAAATTGCACGGTCAACGTTGACATTTCTACAGTTGAGTAGTTTTTCAACTTACTGTGGTGTCAACAAGGTTTTCACTGGAAACCACTCAGTCAAGATCAAAAGGTATGATCTCTGGTGAAATTTACCGATCAGTGTGAGTGGTTTCTGACTACTCAAGTTGTTCAGTAGTAGTATATTTCGCTAGTCCACTACACTTTTGTGTCAGAGATCACACCTTATGATCTTTGCTGAGTGTTTTCTAGAGGAAATCTTATTGACATCATAGTTAGGGAGTTGGAAAAATAATCATCTGTGAGAAATGTCAACGAGGGCAGTGGAATTTGTAAATCACTTGCAAGCTGCTTACAACCTGAATCAATTCGATAGAGAATTGTTGACCTTAAGAAAAGGTGACATTGACGATAGGGAGTTGAAATCACAACAGTCGAGGGTTTTTTATTTCACTTCAATCACCAAGGGTTTTGTCCAAATACCATGTGAATTTGTGACGCGTTACTACCGCCTCGTTGTACTCACACTAGCTGCCCAATCTACTTGAATTAGAGAGGTAGTTAAAGTATCGTTTTGACTATCTGAGATAGCCGTAGTTTGTCAGATTAGTGTTTATACTGGGTAACGATTGAAGGTAAAATGAAAATTTCGACGGCGGCCGGATTTGAACCAGCGACTACCGGGTTTCCGGCCCATTTATTCATACAGAAATAGATTTAAGCAATATTCTTGAAACAAGAACGGAAGTTGGACAACAAAAGGAGACGAATATGTGCTATATATTGAGAAAGGTTTTAAAATATGTTCAAGGACTGACACTGACTAAGAGAATCAAATGAGTAGAACTCAGATAATAAGGTCAAAAGTTCGAAATGAAACGAACAGTATAGACGTATGAATTAGTCATGTGTCAGAAACATCACTGTAATCAACAATAGAATTTTGCACGGCTGGGATAGATTTACGACAGTTTGGCTTCATAGCTACTGCATCAGTGAAGAGCAACGAATTCCAGTGTTGTTTATTATTTAAATGACTTCTAGACATAGACATCATGTTTTATATCAGTTAGATGGAAACGTATGCAATTCTCAGCCATTCAGATATGAAGTCATGAATCTTCTTCTCTGTTTGTTAAATGTGTCTGTTTTGGAAAATAAATATGAAGTGATTTATGCAGTAGGCCGTATTCCGTGGTGTCACCACGTGAGTAATGCAGAAGTCAGGTATAGAGTTTTAGGGATTAGAGGTAAATCAGTTGACGAGGTTATGAACCTTCATTGACTGAGATGTGTGGTAGGGATACATGTTACGTATGCCTAGTCGCCGATTGCCTCGTCACACAATGTTGGCTGAAGTAGGTGCAGGCTGGAAAAAGGCCTGAGGTGACCAGACTAAAACATGGCATGAATGTATGAAGTGTTTGACTGTTGGTTTGAGCCATATGAATCGATGGAGACTAGGTGGTTGGGGTCCATGGGACAAGAGGAACCAGTGGTTAGAGACTGACTTGAGGTGATATGGCTTCGAACCCATGTGAGTGTCGCAGACGTATACACACATTATCCTCATCTTAACGACGCTATACCGAATCTTACCACTTTGTCACTCTTTCTTTCTTCTCGTACTTTATATTTCTTTTGACTGAATTTTCTTATCTTCATCTTGCACCTCACTACCTTTCTACTTGATGTGCTGATATGAGGTGTGGCAACTCGGACCGTTACGCAACAATGCCTGGTCCTATGTTGATATTGATGATGATTTATGCAGTTATAGGTAATAAGAAAAACTGATCTGTCAACCAGTGGGCGATTCTTTAAGTGAGAACACGATAATCTAGCAGTTGGATAGTTCTTTTCTATTACTGATTTAGATTTAGAAGAGCGAATCTCTTCTCTACTTCATCATACTTCTACTTTTAATTCAGTGTTTTCTTGTACTTATCGATGAACTTCCGTACAATAACCGTTATAGTAGAGGCAATGTTAGCGGTAACTATTTCTGCATTGAAACTATAGAGCATATCATTTATCGTTGAAAAATGTCTTAACTAGCTTTCTGTTATACTTAATCTAACAAAAAAGTATTCAATTAAGATACAGTTCACCCCATGAATCTTTGTGCTGGATAAATCTTTGTATGTTATCATCTGCAGTTCGTTGAATTCTGACGTCGAAGAAACCAAAAAAAGCTTCTCATTCTGCATAAATGAATAACCAAGTAAATGATGTATTTCGATATGGTTTGTTGAGTATATTAAGCAAATTATATGAATTTTTAGGGTTGTTGCAAAACAACCAATGTAATATCAACATACCTACTGTAGAATATTGTCTTCTTCATTGTGTACTTGCTAGTTGTACACCTAACGTTTTTCATAAAGATATCAACTAGAATGGAAAATAAGTAAACAATATTTTTCTTTAAAAATTGTTTTAGATTGTAAGCAATTGATGAGATACTCCGAATACAATGAATCGACAGACAGACAGGCAGAGATAAAATCAATGTAGAACCTCATATACATGTCCATCGGTTAAAGTTGCCACACTTCACAGTAGTACACAAAGAACAGGTGCAGAGAGGAAAAGATTAATATCAAAGTACACAAAGTTGTGTAAGAGAATAAACTATCTGAAGATAAAGGTTAGTGCGAATATTCAAGCTTTAAAAGATGTCTTGGAGTGAATATATCTGTCCATTGTGACCGATTCTCAGTCACGTCACTGAGAGTTCTCAACCATTGATTGTTTGCTTCTAGAGGACCCCAACCAGTCTA